CCAGTAGTTACTCATTTTATTGTTCTCTTAAGAGCACCATGACTCCTTTCCTCCATGAGATCTCATCCCATTCCTAAGCCCACTTCTACTATTGATCTTCCTGCCAAACACATGAAGAAAAAGCCCAAGTCTGCTGACAAACTTCACAACATCTTCTCAGCTCCAATCTCAGGTGCTGCCCTTGGACAAAGGAAAAACCAGGATTGAATTCCTTACCTTTGTCCCCAAGCCTGGTTCTCCTTCTCCATCCTCTGCTCAGTAAATTGCTTCAATGTCTGCTCAGGCATCAAGCTTAAAACCTTCTCGACTCTTCATCCTAGATGGTCTTTGATCTCTATTTTTCATACTTCAGATCATCTCAATTTCTACCTTACCTTCCCTGCTTACAGCATAAAGGTTGCACTGTCAGCCAAGACACCATTGTAGTAAAATGGCGGAAATCTGTCAGGGGGAGGGAGTTTCGGGGGCAATCCCAGCCTATATGAAATTGTACCACATAATTCAAAATTCAAAATAAAAATATATTTTAAAAAATACCATCCTTTCTAGTCCACAGCGGGCCTCTGTCTCGTCTACCTTTAATCCTGCTCATGTTTTTGCCTGCTCTCCTTTCTCTAATGATGAACTTAATCCCCCTGATCCTACAAATACTTCATGACTCCCTGAAATTCAAACTCTTAACAATGCAACAAGTCTAGGCTCTAGGCCTGTGTTGTAGCCACTAGCCACCTGTGCCCACATAAATCCATTACAATTAACTGAAAGTGAACATGCAGTTCCACAGCCACGTGGACCACATCTCAGGTGCTCAAGAGCCACTGCACTAGTCCACCTCATTCACTGACGTCACCTATTCTTAGAAGCCTTCTCCATTACTTGAAACATGAAAAGCTTTCTGCATTCCCCTGCCTTGAGCAATGGACACCTCATTGTCTTGCCATTGTCTGTGCAGGAAGGGAAACTTTCCTCCCCCATCCCCCGGGTGTTCCTCAAGGATACCTAGTGCCTGCATCCAGTCCTCTTGGAGTCCTGAGTTTTTACAGCACCTATTCTACGATGATGCCTATTTATTTCTCTTTATTTCGCTTAGGCTATTGTCCTTGAAAGGTTAAGCAGGAAGAAGCTATACAATTCGCATGTTGTGTCTTGATATGAAAATAGAAGGGGAGACCCTGTCATGTATGCCCTCTTTCTAGAAGCTGACTCGCTGAGGCAGTCTCTGAGAACAGACCCACCTTCTGCCCTCCGTCTGTTCACTCTCCTTTCCAAGATCACACTCAATTCTTGTCTTTGAGAACCACAGGGAAACAGTCTGGCGAGAGCCACTGTTGTACCAGCTGATTTAAATGGAAATGTTTTCCCCAGATAAATGCGTGCTAAATAATACACCAGCTCTCCAGCCAAAGGGAAGTGACAGCCACTCTGTAAATAAAGGCTCTTAGTTGCTGGTAAAGAACTGTAAAGTGGTTCAGAGCTGATGTTTGCTGACCAGCAAGAAGCGGCTTCACCTGCTTTATATAATTGTCACTATAGTTTTGCCTGCTGTATATTAAAACTGCATCTCATAGACCCAAATGTCACATCTGATAGACCATTCTGCATGGAATGTGCCACCATTTTCTGTAATTGTTTTTGACAACAAGCCATCACATACATCTCGAATGTTTTCAGAAAGTGTCTGGGCCAGAATCCCTAGGCTGGGTCAGTTCTGACACCATGTGGGCTGAAAAAGTGACATTAGCCAGGGACTTAAAAAGGAAGAAAAGGGAGAGAGAGAAAGAAAGAGAGAGAGAGAGAGAGAAGCCCTAAAATCAGTGGTGAAGACCCAGGCACAACTTCCTTGGAAGGCCCCCCCTTTTCCATGTGATGATACACATTTCATGTCCAGTTATATCATATTAGAAAAAATTTCTCGGAGCTCACAGGGACATTGTGGCCCAAGAACACATCTGCTCTGAGTCCACACTTCTATACTGCTGGGGAGAGAGTAACAGAGTTCACTACTAGAAGGAAAAGAATGAAGTTGTATAAAAACCATAGCATTCACAGTAATGAAAATTGGGGGTGGCAGTGGCAATGAATCTAAGTAGGCCACAATCAGGAGGAGTTTAAGTTTGTTTCCCAAAACAAAGAGATAATTTGAAATCTGTATTGCTCCCCATCCTTCTAGACCACCTGGAGGTTGGGTCATGCCAAATGCCCAGATGAGGGGTCACAAGCATATCTGAAGCCAGGGAGCACTTGGGATGGTTGGAAGGGCAATGGGGGTGGGGTCGCCTCATTCATTGGTCCCATGGAATGGGCAAGCCCGAGGAGTAGTGTGTGGGGCCAGTGGGAGCACTGGGGAGGAAGGGACCTCTCTGTGTGGGTGTCCACTGTGGGATCACGATTATTGACAGAACAAAGAGTATTGAACCAAGAGTATGTGGAGAGCACTGAGTGGAAGCAAACAAATGGGAACATGGGCCTACGTGGAGAGCAGATGGGATTTGTCAGATGGCTACTGACAAGTTCTGTTGTTGAGAAACCCATCGGAGGCACTACTAGGCATAGAGCTCCACCCCCTGCCTTCCTTTGCTGTGTGTGTGTGTGTGTGTGTGTGTGTGTGTGTGTGTGTGTCTTAATCCATTCAGGACTCTAGAGCAAACACTATAACCAAATGGCTTAGAGACAACACAAATGTTTTCCCCCTGGTTTGGGGAGCTGGGAAGTACAGTGCACAGGTACCAGCTGGCTCAGGGTCTGGTGAGGGTTTGCTTACTGATCCCCCTGATGACCCTTCATCCCTATCAGCCAACATGAAGGGTCCCCTTGGGGCCTCTTGTACAAATTCACATTCATGAAGACTCCACCCATGATCATGAACATATTGCTTCTCAAAGACCTCATCTGTTCATATCCTCCCTTGGGGATGAAGATTTAATGTGCAAATTTGGGGAAAGACACAACAAATTTCCAATGACAGCAGCATGCAGAGCTCCCTTCCTTGATAGCTCCTGCCAAAACTTCTTTGCTAAAAGGAATTGATGCTGGCTTTTGCACATTGGAGAAGGGAAGACCATTTGCCCCGTTGACCAATGCATAGAATCTGGGAGGCTGGATAGGGGTTCTAACGGCTGGCATGAGGACTTGTTGCTGACTATATAAGGAATCAAAGGGTACCTGAATGTCTGGGCTGGGCCATGAGATTCTGCTTTACGAACAAGCTCCTGCAGGTAATGTAGAGCCTGGGGTGAGCTGTTGGGACAGGGAGGTGCGGACAAATAGTGAGAGGCAAGGACTCAAACAGAGGCACCAAGTGCCAGCTGGAGGCTCATGGCGGTTAACTCTGTGCATCCCATCTGTGTGTGATCCCTGGGCTGGCTACATCGGAGGAAGGCTCTGGCTCCTCAGTGGCAAGTATGAGCTCAAACCCTCTCGTCACCTAGATTTGATGCTCTCGCTTGCAGACTCATCTGAGCAAAGGGATACCATGATTTAGACTTGGGGGTGAGATGATAGTAGTGGAGTAAAGAAGTAAATATTAGACTTCTGGCTCTGTCAACGTTGTCAGAAGGACACGGACTATTTCACAGGCACCATCATGTAGGGAGTTCTCCAGGAAGATCTCACTCCTGCCTCAGTCCCCAGTGCACAGCCATAGGTTCTCAGGTCCAAGAACTGCTTTGAACTATTTAGTCTGCACAACATACAGTAGAGGTACAGCTGCCTCCAATATCCACTTTCTAGTTGACATCACAGCCAGTCTTTCACGCTAGTCCAGACCGATAAAAGGCAGAAAACCAGTAGGGAAGGAGATTATGGAGAATGTTGTTCCCAGCTTTGCTGCAAGGTTGAGCACACAGTAGAAGGAGGCTGATAAAGGATAATGGAGCACACAGGTCTAGGTTTCATGATTGAGCTTCCAGAAAGCTCTGCATGAGCAGCATGGTTGTCAGACACCTACTCTGCTCAAGAAGGTGTTGCTCCCTATTGCAGTAGCAGCAGTTCTTGTGGCTATGCTCCTTAAAGCTTCTATTCAGGAGTGATGGGATTCAGGCTCCAGAGGGCATCACTGCTACCCACCCAGTAGGCCATGTGTGGCAACCATTCCCCAGCTCATAGCAAGTTTACATGAGGGTGTCACTCAGGGAGGAAATGCATTGCAGCCCACTCTGCCAGATCCCCATTCCCGAGGTTGTCTGTTACAGTATGGTATCTCTACTGTGCAGCCTCTCCAACACTTGCAGATGACATCTTTACTTACAACCACCTGCCTACAATCCCAGTGTAAATGACAGGGGAGATTGGGGGCAGAGCAGAAAACAGATGTGTGTCATTTAAGATTGCTGTGCCTCCTTTGGGAAAATGCACGGGCTGACAAGTGTCTGCTTGCTAAATAACTGTGGTGTCCCTAGTCCCCACCCATCAGACACCACAGTCTCTTGTTGAGTAGAGTCCCACATGGAGCCCTAAAAATGGCAATCTTTAACACTCTGTCCCAGCACAGTGGCAAAAATACATGGGTGGTCTTTTAAAAATACATTAAAAGATGTGTGGTATAGAAAAAAAATTACACACGGTTTCAGGTTTTTTTTTCTTTTTTTTTTCCTTTTTTGGCACCAAAATAGCCTTCTCTTTCTATAAACTGTTTCCAGACCCCTTCTTTACAGGAAGAAAACAGTAGACTCACATAGTATCTTTTTGGTGCTCTGATATTTTGCCAGTGACCCTGGCCCCAAAGTCATGGTTTGGGAATACAGATGGGGTGATCATTTAGAGGCTTGTTTATTTTAGGGCAAGGCAACCTAGCATGTGTGGGGACGACCTATGTCAGGTCTGTGTCCTGGGATGGAGAGTGGAGGCAGCAGATGTCCCTTTGAAAGCAGGCAAAGCAACCACGGGTTTTACTGCCAGGCAGGCTCATGTGAGCCTCTTTGAATTACCAAGTGAGGGATATTCCTCTTGCCAGTCCCTGTCCCCCACAGGCACAGCAAAGAAGTATTCCAGGCTGTCCTTACCTTGGGAATTTGCCTGCAAGACCCCGATGCTGTCATCAAACTGCATAGATTTGATGTTGAGTGACGCCAAGATGCATTCCTTGTCCTGCAGCGAAGTATCATCAATATTATTCTGATTGGCTGACAGGATAACGCACATGTCACAGAGGTTGATGTTGACAGCCCTTAAATCAGCCCGACTTAATGGCGTACCCTTTGGCGTAGAGGAAAGGAAAAGGAAAAAGAGAGAAAAAGAAGCCAGAAGTGAGAGTGAGAGGGGAGAGGGGAAAAAAAAAAAAACAGAAGAAAAACAAATTAAAGATTGAACCGGAGCTTTGGGAAATTATTTAACAAGTACCTTTTTTATGCCTTGACATTAAGCTGGCCTAACTACATTCCAGGGAATAGGAGCTGTGTGCTAATCGAAAGGGCAGTTAGTGCTGATGGCAGCGTTTCAGCGATGCTCTCAATACTCAAGCAAGCTGTTACTAACAAACGCAGGACAGGAACCCTGCCAGGGTTCTACATCTTCTTCCTGCCTGGTAATTGTCTTGCTTTAAGTAATTGTCCTGTGGCAACCTCTGCCTTTCAGAATGTGACAAGGGGATGGGGATGCAATGCCTGTTTATTTGATACCGGGTCACTTCTGACTTGGGCTCCATCTGGAATTTCCAAGGCAGCCAAGGGGAAATGGCCAGTAAGCATCAAGAAAAGGGTAGAAGGGGTGGAAAGCTCTGCTTGGTTCCAAGGTTCAGGGAGGGCGAGGAATTAATTGGTATCCCCCAAAGGGGTTAAACTTCAGGTTATACAATGCTACTGCATATTTTCAGTAAGAAAAAAAAAGAAATAATCTAATTATTCCACAATAAAGGAATGACTAAATATGCTAAAGTATTCAAAAGTTTGAAGGAAATGATTTTAAAAGGTAAGTGTATTTTGGTGCAAAAAATACGCTGTGATATATGCATCAGAGAGATCTTCCAAAAGTTCATGAACATCCGTATCCTGGAAAACTTAAGATAGGGTTTTTTTTTTTTCAATTATATCAAAAATAAACTTACCTCTCAATCCTGTATTTCTACAAACTTTCTGAAATACCCTCTAACTACCAGACATGTCTGTAGCAGCAAAGCAATACCAGAGAAAAACACAGAACTAGTTCTTCCTGAGATGCCAAGGATTTCAAAGAACGAGTAAAAAAAAAAAAAAAGTCTTGAGAAGATTTGAAAAGTATTGTCTCATTTGTATGGGGGGGGGGAATCCTCACAGAATAAAATCATCCATTTCCAAATATGCATATAAATTTTGGACGGGGGGGAAGAGGAAAACACACTAAACTATTAACAGTAATTACCTCTGGGGAGGGAAATACAGATTGAGGAAGTGAGGGAGGAAGTTCCCTTTTGACTTTACATACTTCTGTATTGTTTGAATATTTTATAACAAGAATTTATTTGTAAATTACCAGTGTCATTAAAAATAAATAAGCCAGTAAACACATTTTTTTAACGCCAAAACAAAAGATAATGGGGAAAAAAAACAGATTATTGCAGGAGTGGCAACCAATGCAGGGATGTATCCACAGCTGGACTTCAGCAGTGGTGGAAGGACAGGGCCTTGACCTTCACACATGCTGTGTTCTCATGGAAGGGTCATAGAAAAATGAATCAGGCCACCCTACGTCAGAGCTCCTCTGTGGCCACACAGCATCATGTTGGAATTTCCACATGGCCACCAGTTCCTTTCCTCCAGCCTAACTCCAGCTTCTGCTACGCTTGTCTAGAGACCTCGTGTCACCGTCAACTCCCTGACGATGTGGCCAACTGCCACATCTATCTCTCGATCACTTCCTTTCTTTCCCCTTCCTAGGGGAGGAACTTGGAGAAGAAAGCATGTGCTAGAAGATATGGAAGCCACTGGCTTTTCTGACGAGTGGCCATTATGATTCTATTCTTAGGCTCCAAACTATTGAAATTAAGCACAAATCTGGAAGGAAACGAGACCTGGGTTCCAGGCTGTGCAGCAATGTCTTTCAAGAGAAGTGGAATAATGTCTGACCGACTTCCTGAATCACTCTGCTGCTGTGTAAGCTTCAACTGCCTATATCCGTATTCTTTTAATATTCACCCTGTAGCGACTGTAGCAGTAATTGTGATATAGGACGCTCACTGTGCAGTCATAGACACATGATTTCAAACCGTAAGAAATACAGATGACATGCACAGAAGCCTATGGAGCTTCCCTGGGCCAGCCCTATCTATGGGACACTGTTTAAACAATGACATATGTGAAGGCATGGATGAGGGCCTATTTCGTGCAAATCTGTTGTGCTTGAGTATGCTGGATTTTAGAGGGCTTGGAAAGGACCTGAACATGAGTCACCAGTCATTCATAGGGAGACAGGCTGTACATGAGAGTAGGCAGAAGGAAACATAAATCCACCTGTATGACATGCACATGTAAGTACAGAACATGACACTTCCACGCTTACATACAGATATACACACAAATATCCAAGGAAAATAGTAAGACCTTTGCAAAGGAACTTCTATTGGTGAGAGAACCATGTGGAGGAGTGTGTAGAAAACAATCCGATCTACCAGTTTTACGAAATGAGCCAAGTATGTTTCTATGTTTGGTAGATATAAACTTTGGGGGAGAATGTTTGGAGGATAAGTGATAACTGTATTATTTATCAAACACTGAAGTGCATAAGGTTCTACAACTTTTTTAATTTGTGGAAGATACATTTATTAATTAGGAATTCATTAGTTGTCTTGTATCCTACAAAGTCACATCAAATTGTAGGGCCCAAACTGTTTTAAATTGGGGTTCTTGTGTTTTGCAACCAGGTGCGTGTAACACACACACACACACACATACAGAGTGAGGTAAACATTGTTTAAACATTGTTATGTTACTGAATGAATGGTGGTAGGGCTAATCTACAGTAGGGATCAGCTGTAGACAAAATGAGAATTCTATCATTTCAACTTATGCAGTCAAAAACATAAGGTGATACAGATCAAAGACTTCCTATGCTTTCACAAAATTAGTAAAATGCTGTAAATGGGTTTAGAGCAAATTCTTCCCATAACTATCACAACTTCACACTGCTCTGACTGGAGAGAGAGACTATCTAGACATTGACAAGGTTAATATATTTCACATGTTAAATTTCACCCTTGACAAGGGACTGAACTTGATAGTCAATGGATTTTAATAGGGTCTCCTAGGACTTGAGTTTTCTAGACAGAGTTGATGGGAAGACTGGTCCTCAGGTGCCTCTCCAGGTGAAGATGCAGAAGCATGATCAAAGTTACAATAATATCTGCTGGAAAGTTTTTTTTGTGAATGAAAGGAAGATGATCAATGATGTGACATTGGACTTACAGGCAATATGGACACTTTGGGGAAATTATGAAGTGTCTCCCATTCCCGCTTGAGGTACTCAATGGAGCCCACAAACACAATGTGCTTGAGCTCATGGTAATGGAAGTTGCTGGCACGGAGTGGCATCACCAGGTTCCGCAGACCAATCAGGGCTGAGCTGACATCACCAAAGATGCAGACAACCACGTGGCCGCTCAGGACGGTCATGGCGGCTTCGCTGCGCGTCTGCAGAAGGAAGACATGTATGAGCCTGGGGAGAACATTCCAGAGGCTTTTGAAAGGAGAAAAAAGAATCTTGTGTGTGAAGGATTGAGTAAACATTGCTGAGTGTTTACTACATGTTATTATTTCTATTTTATCAGTTCATATACATTCACATACAAGTTTATTGTATTGATAGAAAAAAAATATAAACAATAAAAAAAAAGAATGTCACCCACAGTGACATTCACTATCTTCTTTGATAAAGACTTGAGAAAGTTATACCATATATAAATGTGAGTCAATGTTGCACAATGATTTTGGGGAGAGGGGATAAAGCGGAACATGAATATTTAATGCTATTTAAGAAGAGGAATTTGAGTTTGCATGAATTTATTGCTAAAATGAGATGCCTACTTAAGCTCTCCTGCTGAGAGGACGATAGAGTCAGATTCCAATGTTGATCTCAGCTGGAAAAACTAGTGTTGACTTCTGGACTTAGCAGTGAGCTGTCACAGAACATCTGTGGACAGAACATGACATCTAAAACCAGGGGCTGAACCCCTACAGCCTATGGGTTACAATGGTGTACTTGAATTAAAAATGATTTTTACACCCCTAAATGACTAGAAAAAGATCAAAATAATATTTTACATTACCTGAAAAGTCTTTGACTTCAAACTCCAATAAAGTTTTATTGGGACACAGCCAAGCTTATGTATTTAGGTGTTAACCATGACCACTTTCAGGTGACAACAGCAGACTTGATTAGTTGTGTCTGAGATCTTATGGATACTAAACCTAAATTATGCATTATATGATATCATATAGGAAAGAGATGCTGACTGGTTCAACGCTGTGTGCCTGGAGGGACCCACCTTATAAGTCACTTAGAGAAAAAACATCCCTCCCCGACACACCCCATGATTCTAAACAAAGATCAGTAAGAGCAATAGACCTACTCCAGAATTGTGTTTATAAATTATCTGAAAGAACTTTCACAACCATCCCTCTTCAGAGAAGAAGCCCAGGTGATGTGAATGGTTAGCTGCTATGACTGGTCCTTTTATTCACCACACAACTAGAATGGGAAACACAAGGAGGCCAGTTGTGAGGCTGTCTCTGCCTGTCCTTCTGGTCCAGTGCCTCCCATTGTACCTGTCTTCCCCTCTTTCCACCCACAGTATGGCTGCATGAACCCTTGGGGCTTACAACACTTTGGGGAAGGCATATTAATGTCCACTGCACATATCAAACTCGGCTTGATTTAATTCCTAGAATTGACCAGTGTATTGATTGTTTAAATGCCAATTTTGCAATTCACTACAATGTCAGGGTTATTACAGTAACCCCCAAGGAGAACAGGAAGCTAGTGCTCATTCACTGATCGTTAGAATAAAACAAGGCTGTCACCATTATTGGTTTCCTTCTGTAACAGCACAGGGAAACCTGAGACACAGGCTAAGAGAAATGTCTGATAAACTGTGACCAAAGAGGACTCTCTGGGGAGCTCATACTATCTATCACAGCTTCATAGAGAAGACATAGAGTTTGTTATCTGGGCCGCATGAAACTGTGAATGCCTGGGTACTGCCAGCAGAGAGTTAGCCAGTCTGTCATGTTCTGCATTGGGCCTCCTAATTATTTTTAATTGTCAGCCACCTGGGAGGCTTTCTCCCTTCAAAAAGCTGGAGAACTCTATAAGCTCGGATCCTGGTGGGAGCTGAAGTCCAGCATAGGGAGACAGAAACCTCACCAGTTAGCAGAGTGAGCAGGAGACACGCTTAGAACAGGCACTCAAAGCACCCCTCCTCAGACCAGCCACATCAGCATCAGCTCGGAACCTTGTGAGGATATAGCATCCTGCACCTTAGCCCTGCAGACCCAGATTCTGCCAGGCCGAAGACCCACTAAGGAAACCAACCCACATGCTTCTTCACGCACCCTCCAAGGAATTGGGCCCTCTCAGCCGTAAGTAAAATCTGTTTGTGTCTGATAGGAGTCCTTTCCTTTCAGATCAGAACAGCTCTCCGTGCCTCATATGCTATTTCACAGTCATACCTCACGTCTTCTCTCTAATTAGACAGTCCTTTCTTCAAGACTGGGACAGCCTCTGACATATTCTAAACCCCTGAAGCAGTTAGTCCTGTGCCCAGTGGGAACATATGAACTCCAAGCATCTTCACATGGGCCTTCCTATCACTCTCATCTCTACATCACCATCACCTGAGAGAGGGCTTCTTGGATCACACTGGTTCAAGGGCCTCTCCCAATCTCTTTCTGGTATTACATCCTGCTCTACTTTTTTCATTGCACTTTGCAAAATCAAAGTGACCACTTCTTATCCAAAAAGCTTTGGACTAGAAGTATTCTGATTTTAGTTTATCTTTTTTTTTTCTGTTTTTCATAATTGCATACACACATATATGCATATAATTAGATACATTAGGGATGGGACTCGAGTTGAAACATGAAATTCACATATGTTTCATACTTACCTATACACACAGTCTGAAAGTAATTTCATCTGATAGTTCTAGTGCACCTGCATTTTGGCTGGCTCCTTAACAATGGTGTCAGAGGAGGAATTTCTACTTGTGGTGTCATGTGATGTTAGCACTTGAACTGTTTGATTTTGGAGCATCTTAGATACTGGATTTTAGGATTAGGGACAGTCTGTGTGTTTCTGAAATGTTATCACAGTTTGGCTAGTTGAAGGCCTTCTCTGTGCCCCATGAGAGTACAGCTCTATGGAAGCAGAAAGCAGAGACTGTGCTTCCAACAAGAGTATTGCCTAGCTGCTCATGAGTATTTTGTTAAATGATGTTATTTAAGTTCTTCTTTCCCAATAAACATGTCAGTTAGCATGTACTTCTCAGGAATATTAAAGCAAATCAGTACAAGTTGGGGTGTCAGATTGGGCACCCCTATTTATGATCCCCCACAGCTTCGGACACCTAAGTAAAAGTGCAGTGTGTAGAACACACTACTCACCCAGCAGCTTTGTGGTTAGCACCCTGCTTCCTCTGGCTATGTTGGACAGTGAGAATTGAGAATTCTGTCTGTGACTTTGTCTGCAACTATGACACCTCCAAGACAGCATCCAGCATGAGGCCTTATTGGCTTCAATGCCTGCTTGTAATTAAGTTGAGAAAATACACACTTAGATTTGAAAAAAAAAAAAAAAGAAAATCTATTGTTTTGGGGTACAAAGCCATTCTTAGGATCAGGTATTGTCCTTGGTTAAAAAGCATAACCCTGACATCAGAAATGATCAAATTCCCTGGCTGGTAAAGAAATGAGCTCACAGCAAGCTAAGGATTAGCAACACCAAGGAGAAAAAGAAACATTCCTTTTGACCTTCCTTGATTATCAATCTATTTTCATGAATTAGCAAAACAATCCACTCTAGGAAAGCCACTGTTGGCATTAAAACCTAAAGCTGTTAGTAAGACAAATGCAGAGAGTAGAATGCAATGTTATCATTGCTCTTCAGTGCTACAGTGGAGACATTCAGGAGTGAACCCATCATTATCAGCATATGTACTTGCCTGTCCACATCATGTGCTGAAAGAAGGATCACAAACCTTACAGGCAGCACTAAGATTTCCTCATGGTGTTTAATCATGATGAGAATAGCACTCAGCATTACTGGGCATATGTTATACAGGAATCCTATGAACTAGAAACATTCTTATCTTACAAATAAGAGAAATGATGTACAAAGAGTTAAGCAACACACCGCAGGCCATGCCTTTCTGTGGCATGGAAGAGCTCTGCTTCCAGAGCCACCTAACATAAACTCCCATGATGCTTTCCATGGCCACGCTTCTACATGGCACAGATGAGCTCTGCTTCCAGAGACACGTCACAGAAATTCCCAGGATGCCTTCTACACAGACTGTGGCCACTTACTATGTTATGAATCAGTAAATATTCATAGGTTGAAAATTCTTCTCTTAGCTCATATTTTGAATATAGTTCTATGTTTCAATGTCTGTTTGGGCCAGGGACTAGATCAGCCTTACAATCCAGTTAAGAAACCCTCATTCCTAACACACACAGCTGAGGAAGAAGTGGTTGACCTCAGTTCCACATTACTCACCAGGATGACTTTCTCTATCTCCTTGGGTGCACACCAATGAAACATCCCTGTAGAGTCATATTTCTTCACGTTGGAGTCCATGTTGTCAATCTGATCATTGCCAGGAATTAACAAAGGGTCATGTCTGGGAAGGAAAGGACAGGAAACTCTAAGTGGAAAATGTGATAAATTATAAATGCAAAGTGTCCCCTGAGTTCCATCAAAGAAGAGGTGAAAGCTGTGAAAAAAGTGGCTGTCATTTTTTTTTTCCTTTTGTTATTTCCCTAAAAATTCTATCTTTGGAAAGACAACAGTCCTAACCCATCACCACCCATCTGGAAGTAAAGGTAACCTTTGCCAGGCAGTAACCTTTCTTCTCCTCTTTTCCTAAATGGTCTTCAGACACATCATTTGGTGGACTAGTCTAGCTTTTGATGGGGCTGTCTTACTCCTGTACTCTTGCTTTACCAGCTATCCAATTTCTCTAAGACAAACACACGCACATGCACACATGTACACAAACATACTCACCAAAGGACTGCTATTGGCGATGGCAATGAAGAGGAAACAATGGGAACAGAGCCTCATGCTGACTGACTGGCATAGGGATGGAAAGCCAATTACTCACTCTTTCGGACTACAACTTCTGATGCGATGCTCTTCGCTGTAAAAGCTTTAACAGGCTGCTCTTTAAATATTTTAGCAATTTGCTCAATCAGATTTTGCTCTCCCCAGCTGAAGCCCTTTAATGATTCAGCAGCACGCCACTTCAGAGCACACCGACTACCAAATGCCTACATCTTGGATACAGGATTTCAATACTGAACAACACCCTCCATTCCTGCCTTGACAACTGTATTTCCACTAACCATTCAGGGATGCATCCTCCCTGACCCCAGTCTCCCCACATCCTCCTCCCAACTGCAGTATTTCCGAGACAAGAACTCAGCACACATGCACATTAACAAACTTGTCTCAATTTCGCATATTCACTCACTTGATTTGTTTATAGGAAGAAAAGATGCTTCCATGGAATACCCCTCCCAAGCAGGGTTGGTAGAACCTCTCCTACAACCTTAAGAGTGATAATAGAAGGGCCAGTGGTATGGCTCAACAAGCTAATCCTCCATCCTGTGGTGCCAGAATCCCTAGGCACCAGTTCATACTCCTGCTGCCCCATTTCCCATCCAGCTCTTTTCTTAGGACCTACAGTGGAGGATAAACCAAGTTGTTTGGACCCTGAACCCATGTGGGAGACCTAGAAGAGGCTCCTGGCTCCCAGCTTCGGATCAGCTCAGCTCTTGCCTCTGTGGCCTTTTGGAGAGTGAACCAGTGGATGGAAGACCTTCTCACTGTGTCTCTCCTTCTCTCTGTAAATCCAACTTCCACATAAAATGAATACATATTTGAAAAAAAGGATAATAGAAGCACATGGGTTAGACAGGTTTATAGCATCAGAAAGAATCGTGTACAATTCCTGGGTCTCACTCTCTGTCCATGATGGTGTCTGAGAGTGACACAGAGTGGGAGGAAGTCATGGTCAGTTTCTACACTGACCAAATAGGATAAAGGCACTCATGTGCGTACCTAACTATGGAGCTTTCTTCTCTGCATATCTGTTCACCTATGGCAAGAAGTACAAAAAGGTGGGGTAGGCATTGGTCTGTGAGTTAAAACTCCTGTGTCCAGGATGGATGACTAAGTTAAAAACCTTGCCCTGGCTCCTGGCTCCAGATTCCTGTAATGCAGCCTTAGATGATGACCCAGGTGATTGGGCTCCTTCCATCCCCTTGAGAATCTGGACTGTGTTCCCAGCTCCCACTTCCAGTATTTGGGGGAGTCAACCAGTGAATAGAAGTGTGTTCTCTCCCCAACCCTCTAGTCAATAATGTTTTTTTAAAAATTAGAGAAATAATCTAAACAGATTCAAATTCCAAAAATCTATCATGAAGTGATTTACCTTCTATATGACCAATTTCAAAGCATAAAAAGGCGATCTTCACCCACTATGCAATAGTTCTCTCTCTGAAATCTTTTATATTTGTCATCTTGGTTCAGGACACAGAGACTGAAATAGCATGTCTCTGATCAGAATTTAAACATTTATTTATTTATTGAAGGTTTATTTACTAAATGAAGGTCAGAGTTACAGACAGAGCATGAGACAGAGATCTTCCATCCACTGGTTCACTCCCTACAGCCGCAATGGCTGGGGCTGGATCAGGTCAAAGTCAAGAGTCAGGAACTTCTTCCAGGTCTCCCATGTGGATGTAAGGGCCCAAGAACCCGGGACATCTTCTGCTGCTTTTGCCAGGCTCTAAATGAGGCGTTCAATCAGAAGTGAAGTAGCAGGGACTTAACCAGTGCTCGGTGGGATGCCCACACTGCAGATGACAGCTTTACCTACTTTGCTTCAGCACTGGCCCCACACATTCAGCTATTAGTTATCTACTATGTTCTTCCGCAAACTATGCCACCCTTTTCACAAGATGGAAAAAGTCTCATTTCACTTAGTTATTCTGGAGAATTTTTAGGTGACACTAAATGCCAGTTGGCTACCACATGAGACATACTGTAGTTATCTTCAGCACACTCACTAGATGACAATAGAAACTGTCACACCTAATTTGAGAAGGAAAACACACACCAGCTCAGAGCTGGCATCTCAGTAGCTGGGTGGTTGGGAGGTCTCGAGGTGTTACAAAACACCTGACCAACTTTCAAATACTGAACTGGGGCCAAGAATGCTCAAAGAAAAAGACAGTGGCTGACAATTGGTCATCTACCAGGTGAGTGAAATATCTGAGTTTGAGTTTTCTTTTTGTAATTTTTGTAATCCTTGAAAACTCTCTAATAGAAACCTAATATCTGGGATGGGCCGATAGACAAAAGCTACCAAAGGGAACAAGTGTGAGAAAAAGAATAATATGAATACTTTCCAGTCCTTGAAGAACATATCTGAGCTGCACAAAGATCTTTAAATTTTCCCTCAAGATACATGAATGCGTTTTCTCTCATCCTGTTTATTAGATGGAGAGGAAGCATTATCTCTGCCAGATCTGAGATCTACTCTTCGTATCTTCAGGATTTAAGAAATACCCAAGCCTACATGAACACCCCATCTGCTAACAAGCAAAGGATGCAGTGAGCTGGTGAGGACTGCTTTTAGAAAATGCATACCCTGGAGAAAAGGGAGAAGGTGTTGGTTTGGTACATTTGGTTCTGTCTGGGTAGGCTTTATTCCTTCGGAACAATGGCCTGCAATCATCATTGTATGGAAGTAAATATGCAAGTCTGTTGACCATTTACTGTTTGGTGAGAAGTAAAAGCAAAATAAAACAAAACAAAAATAAACTAGTTAAGGTCAAGCTTCATTACCTGGGCTGGGGGTTTAGGGAAGGTGGGCATAATTTGAAACGAGAGCTACCAGTCCCGATTTGCACTGAAACATATAGCAGTATCCAAGAAGTCTCCATAGTGTGCCAGGCTATGCTCCCTAGGCCCTTCCAATCAGCCTGGCCTGGAAAATGTGAAAATCAAATACCCAAAATTTTCCCTAAATGGTCTCATCTGAAGAACATCAACAATTTCCCTACACAAACACATTTCTTTTTCTGACTAGCCATGGTATCCAGGATTATAACTTCAGTATCTTGAATTAGTGAAGCAATCAATAAACACAAATCCTCTGTAAGTCAGAAATGGAGGAATTGTGATGATGAGCACAGACTCTCATCAGAGAGAAGGTCAGAGTGGAACAAAAGAAAGAAGAAAAGGTAAATCAACATTCATAATACATGTCAGTACATGAACAAGCAAAGTAAGGTACAAGGTGGTTTATAACACCACCACAAAATATAAAGTGTTCATGGCTTGACTCTATCCCATCAAGAATGGCTTAGTAATGATGGTGGGATTGGATCTAAGCCATGAAGTGTAAAGAGAAATCTCTTGAAACTTTAGGGTTGCTCCATGGTACTAGCCATGTTGGAACCCCTCAGAGACAGGAGGTCCCAATAGAATGAATCAAACAATAGCAGCTTAGAGCATGGTTAGCGATGTCACATTGGAAACTACCTCACTTAAGATGTAAAAAACTCAAGCCAGATCTACAATAAGTCTCCAGGTGTGCACTGGTAATCACAAATGGAAGATAGATTCAACTGGGCATTCAGCATGTTCCACTGTGGACAGAATAGACATGATGTATGAGTTCAGATAGGGGGGAAAATGCTCATTACAAAAACAAAGAACACTATAAAAATTGGAGAACTCTCGAAAAATGAAATGATTTCCTTCCCAAGGTAAAGGCTTTCTGGAAAAGCTGGGGCCCTACAGTGATTTTACCATCAGTGCTGAGTGAGCCTGGAAGATCTTTGAAGCAGTGTGTTATTGAGCAGATATGTGGCTGGAAGGATGCTGGAACCTTCAAAATGGTATCAAAAACCAGCTCTGTGCTACATCCACTGGTTTCCACTACCTGAGAAGAAGTTTGGGATGTGATTCATTTCAGAAACATGGAGTCTGTGATTACTTCGGGACAGACTGCACAAGTTTATCAACTGTGTTCCTCCCGTAGTAACGACAGTCGCCTTGGGTTTGGCTTGTGCTTCAGAGAGATCTCTAGCAGAGACGGAGACAGAAGAGCCAATTATCCACACAATCTGCTCCCATTACAGTCAGGCGTTTAGAGTTTGTATTACTGGAAGAAAAAATCTAAGCATTTCTGTTTGAGCACTCCAACCAAGATTGCTAGGATATGGGGAGACCGAGACCCAGAGAGATGAGGTGGCTTGTTGGGCACGCAAAAAAGGATCAACAGGAACCACTCTCAACAAGATGTGCCAACATTTTCAGTTTACATGATCACAGGCAGAACTATTTTCTTTTATTATTATTATTATTATTATTATTATTGGAAAGGCAGATATACAGAGAGGAGAGACAGAGAGGAAGATCTTCCGTCCGATGATTCACTCCCCAAGTGAGTTCAAGGGGCCGATACTATGCCGATCTGAAGCCAGGAGCCTCTTCCGGGTCTCCCACAGGGGTGCAGGGTCCCAAAGCCTTGGGCCGTCCTCGACTGCTTTCCCGGGCCACAGGCAGGGAGCTGGAAGGGAAGCGGGATCCCGGGGGTGCAAGGCG